ACACTTTTCTGAACAGAGGTCACCAGGTTACGTATTTGTTGTCTCTATACACATTTCGGGGTCAGCCCACAGATTATCTGAAGTAGCCCCATTCTTTTAACTGCTTAAACGGTTGCTCTGTCATGTTTTGTTCTGTTTTATTTTGAGATGAGTGTCATGCTGTGTTTTCCAGGTTGGGATCAAACCCTGGGATCAGTGACCCTCCCAGGGTCTGGGACTAAGGCATGTGCCACTTTGCCAGTTCTTTTGTTTTTGCTTTTGAGTTCTTTTGTTTGTTTAGTTTTACATTTTATTACTCCCCCAGTATATTAAAAATCAGCATTCAACATATAATATGGATTATTAGTTACATATTTTATTTTCTTTTTTGTCGATGTCCGCTCCCGGCCGGCAGGAAGGACACACGACAAAGTCTGGTAGTGGACAACCTTTTCTTTTTATTTTCCTTCTCCGTACAGCCTGCCCTGGGTTCTCCCAGCTGAAGCCTCCTCTGGTCCGCTCCCCGCGGCTCCTTCCGGGCTTCGCTCCGAAGCCTCTACCGGTCCGCTCTCCGCGGCTCCTTCTGGGCTTCTACTTCCGGGCTTCTTCTTCTCCCCCAGGGGTGGCACCGGTATATATACGGGTACAGTGTCCAATCATGTTAAAGTAAGCAAGGCAAGCTGATTGGCTAACATCATCAGTTGCCAGGCAGACTATATTGTTGAGCGGGTTGTTTACGCGGTAAGCAGGAAACTAACATATTCGATGGGAGGGGTAATCTACCTCAGGCTTTGCTCTTTACCACAGGCCGCACGTCCGCCGCGCAAGGCGAGCTATCACAGACGCGGCTCCCAACATCTCCCCCTATTTTATTTACTTTGAATGAATGTGCGCATCGTAGCCCTTCCTGGACTGGGTGCAGAGGCTTATGCCCTATGTGTAGGTCCACCGTAGGTCCTTGGCTTAGACCCTGGTTGGCCATGCCATGGTCTGCCAAGGCCCTGAGGCCCTCGTCCTTTTTCTAGGGCCAGGCACAAACTGGACGGAACCTGGATGCACACAAGCTTGCACTCATTTCCTCTCCGTAAAGAAATCCCCTCGGAGAGAAATTTAGACCTGGGCAGCATCTAACAGTCCAGCGGCTTACGTGCAGGATGGGGTAGGGCCTGGCTTAGGTCGAGTCGTGCTGGGGAGGCACGCTCTTACCCGTCATTGACTCACCTACCCTGCTGTGTATTGTCACCTTATGGAGGAGAATGAGGGATGCCCGCCATATCTAGACTCGGTCGTGGGCCAATTGAGCAAGCCATGCATATGCCTGAGGATCTTCTTGTCCATTTCGGGCTACCGCTATTTCTATTCATCTTATTGGTTGGTCTGTGATGGATCTCCAGTAGGGCAGGTCTGATCTTCAGTCGAGGGCTTTGTTGCCCGTGTCAGTCTCTCCGGTATCCACAGTGGTTCTCGTCCCGGTTCCTGTGGGAAAACACAAACCGCGCCTCGGTTCCAGCTGACCACTGGATCCGGGCCCATCCATTGTCCTGTCATAGATAACCGCGCCTTTGGAGGCAGGCCTTGGCTTACTCCCCCTTTTTTATTTTTTATTTTTATCTTTTTCGTTTTTTTTTGTTTTTTTTTTATTGGTACCAGGGATCGAACTGGCGATTGCCTGCTTACAAGGCAGGCGCTTATGCCGCTAAGCTAAATCCCCAGCCCCCATTTCCTCGACCGGCGTTTTTCTCAGCCTGCTCGGCAGAGAACTCTGTGTACCAGGCTCGCCAATCCAGGTAACTACCCGAGGGCAGACACGCCTTTGCCAGCTGAATCCAGTCCGCGGGGGTGAGGGGCCCAGAAGACAGATTCTCCAGCATGGCAATGGTGTAAGGCGCAGTCGGCCCAAAGGTTGTAACTGCATTTTTAAGTTCTCTAATCTGCTTTATCTCAAAAGGCTCCCATACATTGCGTCCCTGGCCCATAGCTACTTGTACAGGAAACATCCCGTAGGGGCCACTATCTATCCCAGGTGGATGTACCTCATGAGACAAGCGTCCCCCCTGCCAAAGCCGCCTGTAAAAATACCGACCCGCCGGCGGCGGAGCATAAGACAGCGGCCGTGATTGGGCGGAAAATGGGGGCCCGTGCATCACTTCCTGTTCTGGCGAAAGGGGAGAGAGCTCCCAGGCGGCCGCCTCGTGGCGAGGAATCGCCTCCGGAAACGGCCCCCAAGGTGGGGCGGAAGGCTTCGCCTCCCTCTCGCGCCGGGGAGCGCTCAGGAGCTCTCTACTCCTCCGCAGACCAGGTTGAGCAGAGCGCAATTCGCGGGGCAACGCTGGAAAAGAACCCTGCGACTCCTTATTGAGCGATTTAGGCTCCTGACAGCTGGTCTCTTTGGCCTCCTTGCCATTCAACTTTCCCTCGTCCTCGGAGTCAGACGACTCCGAGGCTAGAGCCCCGTCCTCCTCCTTAGCATCCTTGTTCCCCTTGACGGACCCCTCTCGGGAGCTCCCTGACTGGGCCTGCTCAGATACCCTGCGTACTTTTGTAAGCTCTTGAGAGCTTTCTCCACAACCACCCTCGCTCTTAGTGTTGCTACCTAACATGTTTCCCATCTTTTAATATGTTACTCACCGCGTGAGGCCCAAGGAATCCGCCACTTACGCGTGAGCCTGAGGGGAGTCTAAAAGCCCTGTAGGTGCGCGCCACCCAGAGCCCAGGCTTATCCCCAACTCACCTGTCTCGCAGCTCTGTACTGGAGCGTTGTCCACTTCCACGTCTCGGGGGTGATCAGTCCCCGGGCGGGCCTCCAAATGTCGATGTCCGCTCCCGGCCGGCAGGAAGGACACACGACAAAGTCTGGTAGTGGACAACCTTTTCTTTTTATTTTCCTTCTCCGTACAGCCTGCCCTGGGTTCTCCCAGCTGAAGCCTCCTCTGGTCCGCTCCCCGCGGCTCCTTCCGGGCTTCGCTCCGAAGCCTCTACCGGTCCGCTCTCCGCGGCTCCTTCTGGGCTTCTACTTCCGGGCTTCTTCTTCTCCCCCAGGGGTGGCACCGGTATATATATGGGTACAGTGTCCAATCATGTTAAAGTAAGCAAGGCAAGCTGATTGGCTAACATCATCAGTTGCCAGGCAGACTATATTGTTGAGCGGGTTGTTTACGCGGTAAGCAGGAAACTAACATATTCGATGGGAGGGGTAATCTACCTCAGGCTTTGCTCTTTACCACAGGCCGCACGTCCGCCGCGCAAGGCGAGCTATCACAGACGCGGCTCCCAACACTTTTTTATATTGTCTCCAAGACCTACTGTGTATTTGTGATCAGCACATCTCAATTTAGACTTTTTTTTTTTGAGAGAGTGTCTCACTATGTAGTAGAGAACTCACTGTGTAACCCAGACTGTCCTCAAACTCGCAGAGATCCTTCTGCCTCAGCCCCTGCTCTCCCCAAGTGCTGGAATTACAGGACTGTGTCACCACACCTGGCTAATTTTTAAGAATTTATATAAAACATTCCAGAGCAGCAGAATTATATTTAATAAAAAATATTTAATGTTTAATTAAAATCAGTTTGAAGTTAAATTAAACTTAAAATGTATTTCCTTGGTTACACTATTCATGTTTACAGTGATTCATTGCCATGGATGACTTGTAGCCTCCATCTTAAACAGCTCATCTCTGGAAACCAGGACACAGCCTTTTCACTTTTAATAGTGTTTCTAGGATCTTTTGAAGTATCCAGTTTCAATAAATGTCATCCCAGGGCTATTAGCTAAGAGGTCTTTTGTTTTTAATAACATGTTTTGAAGGGGTACTGGGAATTGAACTCATTACCTTGCACTTGCCAGGCAGGTGCTGTGCTGCTGAGTTATATCCCTGGCCTAATAAAGTGTTTTTAAAATTTTCAGATTCAGCCCAGATCTATTTGGATACTTATTTATTTATTTCGGTTTTGTGAAACATTTCACCATGTAGTTCAGATTGGATTTAAACTCACTATGTAGCCCAGGCTGGCCTCGAAATCACAGCAGTCTTCCTGTCCCAGCTTCTCAAGAGCTGGAATCATAGACATATCATCAAAGCACAGTTTCTGTCCCAGGGCTTAGAGTGAGCCAAAATTAGTGTCAGTAAATAGTGAAGAGAGCTTGCCTCTTGCCTAGCATATACCAGGTCCTGCATTTGATCCCTAGCACTAATGGAAAAATAAAAAAGTAGCAAAAAGATTCGCTACACTGCATATGTTTTAGAAATGTTTACACTGTACGATCTCTCTAGCTTTGTTGGAGGAGGTTGCAGAGAAGTTCAAAAGAGATTGTTTTCCCCTTGTCTATATGAATAAGTTAAATATAAAGTGTTATAGCACTACCTTTATTTGCATGAAGACCCTGCTGCTTATAAGTAACTGAGTTTTAGGTTCTGAGGTTTGCTTACTTGCTTTTTTTTTTTTGGACTTTGTGAAATACGGTCTTACTATACAGTTCAGGCTGGCCTTGAGCTCACTTTGTAACCCAGGCTGTTTTTTTTTCCCCTCAAGTTGGTCTTGAACTTTCATTTATTTTTATTTTTTATTTTTTATTTTTTATTTTTATTTTTTGGTACTGGGGATCAAACTCACAACCTTGTGCTTGCCAGGCAGGTATTTGCGCCACTGAGCTAAATCTTGGCTCAGGCTCTGCTTCTTTTTTTTTTTGGTACCCGGGATCGGACTCAGGACCTCGGTACTTATGCTGTTAAGTTAAATCCCTGGCCAATCTTGAATTTTCAATGATTCTCCTACCTCAGCCTCCTGAATGTTGGAATTACTACTCCTAGCTTGTTTACTTTTTTTTTTTTTAATCGGTACCTGGGATCGAACTCACGACCGCCTGCTTGCAAGGCAGGCACTCATGCCGCTAAGCTAAATCCCCAGCCCCAGCTTGTTTACTTTTTAACAGTGCTGTATGTGTGGGCATTTATAAAACTATTGCCAGTTAATCTATAATCACCAAATTCTTAAAAGTCATAAATATCTATCAATTTTTTCTAGGTTGCCATAAAAATAATTGACAAAACACAGTTGAATCCAACAAGTCTACAGAAGGTAAGATTGATGCAGTATTTTTTAAATGATTTTTTGTATTCCATCTAATTTGTCCCTTAAATATTTTTTATTTTTGTTTACTATGTTCAATGCAGTAAAATTTTCTATTCCTCAAATAAATGCAACTCAGAGTATTTTTAAAAATGGTTGGTTTAAAAATGGGTTATCTTCAGTTAAAGGAATGATTTTTTCAGTTGAAGGTAATGATTTTTAAATGTTAATAAACACAAATTAAAGACTACTTTTAAATAGCATATCTTAAATATTGACTATAATAAGTTTTTAAATACAAAATTAAATTCATGTATTCTTATGCAGATTTGTATGGATTTTTTCATAGCTAACACAGAAATCTTTTGAGATATGTGCTCTGGCCAAGTGTACTGGCACACACCTTTAGTCTACACCATTCAGGATGCTGAGGCAAGAGGAGCTCTTGAGCCCTGGGAGTCTGGGACTAGCCAGGGCATACAGAAAGACCCTAACTCTTTAAAAAATGAGCAGAAAAGATAAATTCATTTGCTCAAGATGGACACGTAATGAAATGATGCATATAAAAGAACTCTGAAAACCACTTTCCAGTTATAAGCTGTTTTGATGAAATATAATGCCCAGTACATGTTACTAATGTATTCCAGATAGGTAGTTATAGCCTGAAATTTTGAAGTCTTGTTCTTGTTATGTTTAGGGACATGGGGAAAGGATGGGCTCTATCTTACACAAAATTTGATGTTTAAGCAGCTGTTTTTTTGTAATCTGCAGTGCAGAATGGCCCTTCACATTCCTCTAGGTGACCCTAAAACAGATTCTTTCAGAATTCCAGCTACCTGTTCTGAAGAATTAATTGTACCCATTTTCTTAAACTTTCTATTCTTCCTAATAACTAATACTAATAATCTAATAACTTAATACACAACAGATTACTAAAATTTAGTACTATATTTAGGGTTCAAATTATGAAGTTTACCGACAATTCTTAATGAAGTATTCTGTGGTGTTACAAATTTTCTACTTGTTTTCTGTACCTGGAGATTCTTAACAGTTTTCCAGGAAAAGTTTTATCTCACTGTTTTCTCAGGTTGGCTATAGTTTTTTCTTTCTTCTTGCTTCTGTGATTATCATTTTTGGCCATAGTATTTAACTGCTGCTCTTCATTTTATTAGTACTACACATTACTGGTGGTTGCATCGTTGTCATTTTAGAACATGGGTGGTTGTCCAGGTAGCCCAATATTGTGACTAGGCATATTTGAGCCGACATTTATTTTGGTTTATTGTAATCTAATACATTAATGCTTTTAAGGTTTGTTTGTGGTATGGTTCAAGTGTGACTCATCCGCTGAAGACATCCCAAAGCTAGGTCTATCCTAGTTATACAATTGATAAGTATAACATACTCAGTTTAAAGGGCATTGCTTAAAATCATATGTGCAAGTTTCTACTCTTCCAGAGTAAATTAGAAGCATTCCTGTTTAAGTTCTTATTCTTTTCCATGACGGAAGAATGGTAGCAGGATGTGGAGTACACGTCAGCTTTGGGCTTCTGTCTTTAGTGTTTTTGTACCTTATTTCCTTCACAGCAACCTGCACAGTCATATCATACAGTCACTGGGAGCTGCTTTGTGCGGTAACATTCACTGTAAGGAACACTGTACTCTCAGCATATGCAGGCCGTTTGTGCTACCACTGTCCAAAGAGGTGTACTGCCTTGTCCAGGCAAATTTCAGACCCAAGTTCAGGTTTAGAAAATTCATAGTACTCAGGCTGAGTCAGGGACCTGTATATGTAAGTAAGCTTGAGTTGACTGCAGATTTGCAAACGGATACTATTGCAACACAAGTATCTTCATTTTCCTGTTTTTTTAGCTCTTGTTTAATGAGCAATCGATTCTAGTAAAATTTCTTTTTCTCTATGTTTCTGTACTTACTATCTTCTGATTGCTGTTCCTAGAATACTACTGCCTTCATAAATGTCTTTTTAGTAAACTTTTAAAGAACTCTGTCATGTTATATAACCTATAGTGATTTTCTTGTTGTTTTGTTTCGTTTTGGTTTTTTGGATTTTTTTCCTACAGTGGTTTTGTGAACACCATAAATAACAAAAATTCTAGTCTTCTCATTGATCTTACAAAGTCATTTTTAGATTCAGTTTGGTTACATATCAGGGAATCTTGCCAGATCTTGCCTTACTATCATTAAGAAGCAAGTCTTGTCTCATTAGGGAAGAAAATGTGTTTACCTGTTCAGAAGTACTACACTTTATTAAGATATGCCAGTACTTCTGAAGGTACTAATTCTCCCTTTTGGTCTTGGGAGTAGACTGACTCTTAACATAGCATAAAGCTTAGAGGCCTGAGAAAGCCAGACTACATAAATTTAAAGTCAGGCTTCAACCCTGTCTAGCTAGGTGATGAGTCACTTAACCTCCCAGAGTCTCCATAACATCTTCTTAGAGAGTTGTAGTAATTTAGTTACTATTTAGAAGCCCATTAGTAGAGCTCAAACTAACACCTGGCTCGGATAAAGACTCTGAATGTTTGCTGTCATCATGTGTTCAGCAGAATAGTTGGTTTGGGTTTGCTTGGTTTGGGAAATGGGTATATTTTTGTTTGCTTAAAATTTTCCTCTCATAGGAGATAAGTAAAATTTTAAAACTGAATGATAGGTTTCAGCTAGGTTTTTGGTAGGACCTAATCATGATGGATTATTTCTGAAAATAGTGGCTTGTTAAAATTTGGACATTTATTTAATGTGAGGACTTTGTGAAAAAAAAATTTGGACATTTAATCTGTATATATGGCAAACACTGTTCTGAGTGCTTCACCTGTATTTACTCATTTAACCTTTACAACTTCATGAAGTGAATTTTGTTCGTAAGGAAATGGAGTGACCTACTGGTTACGAAAGGATGGAGACTCCGTCAGTTGTCTGGCAGTACTATAGGTAGCATTGTGTGCAGTGTTGTGAACTCCACGTGCAAGCAAGTTTGTTGTAGTTCCAGTGATGGAGACCGACAGTGAAAGCGCGCTAGGAACTCTATCAGCAGGGTTCATTGTCATCACACACCACCTGCCCTCTCTCCTCAGCTAACCTGGTAGACATTACTTCACCTTACACTGCTGGTGGGTGTAACTACTAGCCTCACTTTCTCCTGGGGAAACAGACTCTGACAAGTTGGTGTAGTCCAGCGCTCTAGTCAGTAAGCCATGACAAAAATACATCTCAAACTGATTCCAAAATATGGGCTCTTTCCAATCCATTATGCTTCTGTACTATAATTAAGTAAATTCCCAAATTTAGGATTTCCAAAAGCTTAGATGGAAACTCACCTGATGGTGTGCATTGAGGTGACCGTAAGAAGTTGAACAGTAGTTTCAAGTTTGGGAGAATGTTTGAAGAACTTCAGAGAAGTAAGTCTCATATCCTGCTTTGTCTTCCAAACACTGCAAAAGCCTCAAAGTTTTTGTGTGTTTTTTGAGGGTATGTAGTCCAGGTCAGCCTTGAATTCACTGTGTAGCCCAGGCTGGCTACAGGGCAATCCTTCTGCCTCAGCCTCCTAAGCACTAGGATTACAGGCACGTGTCACCATCCCTAGCATAAAAGCTATGTTTTTATCCAGGCTTTCTCTCCTAGTAAACGTCTCTCGTCCAGCCAACACATACTTGTTGAACATGTGTTGTGTGTCAGGTACCATTCTGTGAAGTACAGTATTGAACTAAATGCTGCTGCTGCCCTGGTGGACTTGACATAATAGTAGGGAGCAGCAGTAAACAGATTTATAATACAGTGTCACGTGAGCACTGTGAAGCAAACAGTAGCAGGGTGTGTGAACTATATTCTCTAGTCTCTATGCTCTGGCATCTGAACCCTTCCTGGCCCCACCCAGAGTGAACTGATTCCTTGAAATAAGAAACTGTTGCGCCGGGACTGTCTTTCTGATGGCAGCAACCTGTTCAGAGCCTATACTTCAAACCACCACCTCTGTCAGTCTCTTGCAGTCTAGCAGGCAGTATCCATGTACCCTAGTCATCACAGGGCCGTGTGTCAGGCAGCTCATGAAGGCACCTATTCCCCAGAGTGTGCTGGAATTACTCAGCCGCCAGGCCTAGCTGGTTCACCATGGCTTGCCTGTCCTATAATGTAGACCCTGTGGGTTGGGGTAGCTTGGGGCATGGCAGTTGTTAGCATGTGTGAGACTGTGGGTTCCACCCTATTCCTGAAAAACTCACCCTTGTCCTTTTTATTGGTTCCTTCTGCCCCTTGCTGGGCTGCAGTGCTTCTCTGTGCTGGTGACCCTGGATGGTGTGGTAGGTCCTCTTTTGGGAGCTGTAAGCCAAAAATTGTTCAGTAACAGTCATCTCCTGATCTCTGGGCCTCAAATGAAGCATGAGGCATCATCTGAATAATTCATTTCAGAAACATCCTTGTACCTGAACCAGCCTGTGGGAATCGCTGCTGAATCAGACAGAGAAGCTCACTTTGGGCATTGGAGAGAGAGAAAGGGTCCTTTGGAGCACTTAGGACAGGGTTCCTTATTTGACAGTGGAGGGAGGATTACACACAGCCCGGGGAACCCCACCATAGGCTGCGGAGGTCTTGGTCCTTCTGCTTAGTGTCATTACTGTGACACAACCAGTACCGATATTCTCTTAAGCCATAACCACTTCATTTAAAACAAGATCTGTAACGTATTAGTAATACAATTTTTTTGTACCAGAAATTGAACTCATGACCTCACATTTGTCAGGCAGGCACTGTGCTGCTAAGCTATACCCCCAGCCTCTAAAAATTGATTTTTTAAAAGTACATTTGCGCTGGGTGTGGTGGTGCATACCTGTAATCCCAGTACTCAGGAGACTGAGGCAGGAGGATCACTGCAAGTTCAAGGCCAGCTGGGCTGCATAGTGAGTTTAAAACCAGCCTGCACTACGTGGCAAGACCTGTCTAAAAAATAACAAAAACAACAACAAAAAAAACCCCGCATTCACCTAGCTGGTTCATTGGCCAGCCTTAAGCTCATCCCAGGGTGGCTTCTCCCAGTGTTCAGCAGCTCTGGGTTAAAGTTCCCCTTGCTGTAGACTAGCATCTGTCTTCCTAGAACTTCTGTAATACTATTTTCTCTGTTGCCATATGGCTTTACCGAGCTGAAACCCACCATTCCAAACATAGCCCTTTGAGATTGCTATTTTGGTTCTTCCTGATTTTCCCGTCTCCAGAATAAATACTCAGCTGTTTGGCCACCTTTAGAAGTTGACAGGAACCTGGTTTATTCTGTACTGGGAATTAATGGTTTTCCTCACCTATTCCCACTGATTTTTGCTAAGATTCATCAGATTGGCTTTCTGTCATAATTCCAATTGATTGGGACTCTTTTTCCTCCTCTCTCCCCACTCCAGAGCTGAGGATTGGGGATTGAATCCAGGATCAGCTCACATGCCTCAGATTAAGCTGCCTGCTCCCTCTGCATTGTAGCAGTTTCAGTGATCTATCTATCTTTTCCTTCCTTCCTTCCTTCCTTCCTTCCTTCCTTCCTTCCTTCCTTCCTTCCTTCCTCTCTCCCTCCCTCCCTCCCTCCCCCCCCTTCCCTTTCTTTCTTTCTTTCTTTCTTTCTTTCTTTCTTTCTTCCTTTCTTCCTTTCTTCCTTTCTTTCCATCTTTTTGAGACAGGATCTCACTATGCAGTTCTGGCTGGCTATGAGCTCGCTTTGTAGTAGCCCAGTAAGTGTCAAGGTCATACCGATCCTCCTGCCTCAGTCTCTCCAGTGCTGAGATTACAGACATGCGCCTCCACGCCCAGGAGTAATGATTCTTATATTAGTTGTCCTTTCCATTTTATAAATTGGATATGGATCTCTTTATCCAATTAAAATTCTTAGCAAAGCAGGGACACAGATGTTTCAGTGAGAAAGGTATCCTTCCAATGTGCTGTAACATTCAACCAATTTTTTTTTTTTTTTTTTTTTTTTTTGTGGAGACAGAGTAACACAGTGTGGCACTAGCTAGCTGGGATCAAACTTGTAACAGTATTTTGTCTGAGCTGGGATTACAGTCCTGCATTACACACCTGGTTCACTGGGTCACTGTTCTTAACTTTAGACTTTTGTGTTCTCATAATTTAATCAGATTTACTGAAGTAAGAGATTATTGAGTATAACTACTGTATGTGTACAGTGAGTTACTAGGTTTGTTCTCTTTTTGGTGTTACTGAGGATCAGACTACATTCCCAGTCCTTTTGTCCTTTTAAAAATTTTTTTGAGACAAGATCTTGTCCAGTCACATAGTTACCTAGACTGGGGTTGAATCTAGATTTTCCTGCTTCAGCTTCTCAAAGTGCTGGCTGGTATTACAGGCAAGCATCACCATACCTGCTGCCAGATGTTCTTTGAAGCTTGTTTGACTATAGATTCTTTCCCTTCAGAGTGTTCCTTAGGAAAGTTCTACTTACATCTACTTCACTCTAGTTGGTTCGTTGGTCAGTCAGTTGGTTGGTTGGCTTGTTTGTTTGTGTATGTGTGTAAAAAAGCTGGTCTTTGCTGGGTGTAGTAGTGCACACCTGCAATCCCAGTACTCAGGAGGCTGAGGCAGGAGGATTGTCATGAGTTGGAGGCCAGCCTGGACTGCATAGTGAGTTCAAGGCCACCAGCCGTACATAGGGAGATCCTGTCTCAGAAAACCAAGTCAGTGAGTTGGAGCTCTAATTTTGTTCCCTTCTTAAAGTTGTTTAGACTATTCTCAGTCTTTCGTATTTCTGCAGCAATGTAAGAATCAAAATATTAATGTTTATAAAAAATGATGTTGGCATTTTGATAAGGGGTGGCCCCCAGAGTCAAGGCCCAGGACTTGGGCTCCAGACTATACTGTGTTTCACCCCTGGCAAATGTTTCCTCTCCCTGGGACTCAGGGTTCCGTTCTCTGTCAGCTAAAGTGCAGATCATTTTGGGAATCTCGATCATTGAACAGCTATTCTTTTTTTCCTCTTCCTTTCCTTTTATATTGTCTTTTCTCAAGCTGACAGTTCACTGTTAACAAAGTAGTTAATACAGCTCTGCCTAGTATTTCAGTCTAATCCAAGCAGGACATGTTGAGACACATGTAATTATATATAGTTAAAATGCTGAGACCCTGATTCAGATGGGGTGATGGGTAGGACAGACTCCCACCCCTGATGGCCGGTGCAGGCAGCCTGGGTTCTCCCCTGGAAACACATGCTCTGGGCAGCAGGAATCACTAGTCTTACATGCCTGATCACACCTCGTCATCCTCCCTCACTCAGCACATATACCCAGGGTCAGCAGTGGACACCCTTTCAATCTGCAGTGAGTCTTGAGGCACAACTGGAAGCCGCAAGCTACAGCTATGAATTCAGCTGTAACGAGTTTTTGTCTTAGCCTGGTAGAGGGAAGCTAAAAAAGACTCAGTCTCGTCTGTCTGTCAGATAACTGGGCAGGTGTCTCCTCAGCTCCCAGTATAAAATGCGGGAATGGCCACAATAAGAAGTGGGCTCTTTATGTTGGAGAGAAGAGTGCTTCTGCCTCTAGAAGTGAGCCTGTGTTTTACACAGGAAAGGCTGTTTATCCGATTCCACGACCCTGCCTTCTGCCTTCCAGTAGTATTGTCACAACCTTCCTTCCCAAAACCACCTGTCCTAGGCTGCCAGTCTCACTCTGGGTCACCGTCAGCGGGACACATGCAGGGGAGTCTAGGGGCTTCTGCCTGCTCGTTCTCATGGTTCATCAAGGTCATTATTACAGCCCCATGCTATGTCACCCATATTCCCCAGTGAGAATTTCTCAACTTGGTTTTTTAAAAAAATCTTATCATAGAATCATTTGTAACAGTCAGTTTAATATGCCTGTACAAGTTTATCAGGGCTGTTTCCATTTTAATTTATGGAATTGGAACCCTGGGTAGCTGTTGGATCACACTGTTTAATTTCAAACTGTTCTTGCCAAAGATTGATGTCATCTTTTCAAGATAACAAAATAAAATTTAGAATTACTATTTTAATGAATGGAAACATTTAGGAGTCCTATTTGGTAATAGGTTGTAAACCTACCTTCAGAGTCACTCTGGACTTTCATATTAGTCAGAGAATTGGCATGAAAACATTAGTAAGAATCAGTTATGTAAGAGAAAATTTTAATTTATATTGCAACAATGAATATGATGCTTAACTTGTATTGGGGGGACTGTCGTTTGCTTTTGCTTTTCCTTTTGTTTTTTGTTTTGTTTTTTTTTAGCTCTTCAGAGAAGTAAGAATAATGAAGATTTTAAATCATCCAAACATAGGTACTTTCTGCTTTCTTAAATACTTCTGGGTTGAAATGTGTTATTGAAAGTGTATTATAAAGCTAAACATACTGTATTCCTGAAATGATAAAAAGAGACTCCCTCCCCCCCCACCTAGCTAGGTACACTTTTAGCAAAATGCATTTACAAGCTGTTGACTGTAGTAGCTTTTCAAAATTACTAGAGACAAATTAAAAGCTTAGGTATTAACCAGTTAAACTTAAAGCTTTAGTTCAGTAGAAATGTAATTTTCTAATTTTTCATGTGTTAGAAAATATAATTAATCTCAGCACTTAGAATGCTGAGGCAGGAGGAGTACCTTAAATTTGGGACCAGTTTGGACTTCATAGTGAGTATAAAGCCACTCTGAACTATATAATGAGACCCTGCCTCAAAAATCCAAAACAGGGGCTGGGAATTTAGCTTAGTGGCATAAGCACTTGCCTTGCAAGTAGGCGGTTGTGAGTTCGATCCCTGGTACCGGTAGAAAAACAAAAACAAAACAACAACAAAAAGAAAAAAGAAAAAAATCCAAAACAAACAAAAAAATTGTATTTCATTTGTACCTAGAAAGGATAAAATTGTATGATCAGAATTAATATTATAAAATAATTATACTTTTTGATGTGACTGGTCCTAAGAAAATACTTCTACATTGAGTCACATTTGAAATATGAAATGAATTTTGTTTTGTGTATCTTCTGTGTGCACAGCTGTGTGCCAGGTATTTAAAGATGAGGAAGGGGCATGGTCCTGTCTGCAAGTAATTGTAGGAGTAAGAGGAAATATGTGAGTTGTTTGATATTGACCGTGTGTGTGTGTTTCCCAATTAAACTTTTGATTCCACATAGATCATAATTTGGCTAACACTTTTTTTCTATAGTAATAGCTCCTATAGCTAAAAATATTATTTCAAGAGTAAATGAGAGGGGCAGGGATTTAGCTCAGCGGTATAAGCGCCTGCCTGGCAAGAGCGAGGTCGGGAATTCAATCCCTGTATCAATGAATAAATACATACGTACGTACATACATACATACCATTATTGCAAAAAAAGAATAGGCGAGTAAGAAAGACGAATTAAGAAAAAAGAGTTCGTGAGAGGGATGATGTTTAATGTTAATGATGACCTATAAAAAATTCTTTGGGAGGGGCTGGAGGTTTAGCTCAGAGGCATAAGTGCCTGCCTTGCAAGCAGGCAGTCGTGAGTTCAATCCCTTTTACCGATAAAAAGGAAAAAAAAAATTCTTTGGGCACAGGAATAATAACATAAAACCACTGGAGGAAAAAACATTTACACAATGCTTAAGTTTGACTATAAACTATGAACAAAAGGATTATACCCTATTTCATCACAGCTGAAGAAGAACATTGCTGTCAGGTGATCATCCTGGTACCTGCGACAGTAATTAAAATGCAGAAAAACGCTCATTCTTTGCTTCTTATTTTAAGCCTTTGAGGCCAGCCAACCAAGTCTGGATTTCAAATTCCAACTTTTTCTCCAAGAAATATTTTCTTTCCTAGAACTAATTTATTATAATTATAATTATTATTATTATATTATGCCTAGAACTAATTTCAGTGTATTTATTTTATCTTTTAACTTCTTAAATTGTACCCATATCTTTGATAATAGAAATTTTTTAAAGTTTCTCTTGAAACTTTGGTTCACATCTGTGATTCTAGCACTTCGGAGCCTGAGGCTAGAGATATTGAAGCCAGCCTGTACTACAAGATCCTGTCCCAAAAATAAAACAGAAATTTCCATTGCATTGAAATAATTTCCCTAGAAGAGTCAAAGTTTATGTTGGAGTATGAAAAGGATTTCATTTTTATGTTGATTATTTACCAATACTTTTACCTTAATTTTCTTAAATGATTTTTCCTGATAATGTGAACCTATCAGAGTCTAAGCAATGGTCTGATAGTTTTGTTCATCAGTTTATCAAATATTTAGGTCAGGGATATAGCTGTCTGGCAAGCATGAGGTCTTGCATTCAAATCCTGGTACCAAAAACAAATAAACATTTATTGATTAAACTGGACACAGCGCCACATACCTATAATCCCAGCATTGAGGAGGCTGAGGCAGGAAGAGGATCACTTCAAGTTCAAAGCCAGCCCAGACTACATAGTGAGTTCAAGGCACACTACAAAGCAAGACCGTGTGTCAAAAACAATAATAACAACAAAAATTTATTGATTACTGTGTTAAGTAGATACTTCCATCTAATAACTCTATTAATCAGAAGATCACTTACAATAAAAGGACTAGCAACCCCCACCCCTTTCTATTTTGGGTGAATTTAATTTTAAAGAAGTATTAAAATAGATATACCAAATAATGGCTAGTAGCTTTAGAAACACACACACACAATTGTGTAGGCTTTATAAATCACCAGCAATAAAGTATTATTTCGTCCGTAATAAGGAACCGGTATAGCAAAATCACACTGACCCCCCTGAAAAATCATTGTTAAAAAAATTTTTCGTCAGTTAATTGCCATATAATCCCTTCTACCTCTTTCCGTTTCTGGCCTTAGAATAATAACAAAAGAGCTTTGAAATTTGCGATAAGTACCCCATGCCACAGAGGTTTTGGGTGGAATCACTCACTCAGGCCACGGTGCTGGTAAACAGGAGCACACTGGCAGACTAGAGTAGCCCTGGCTGCCCCTGGGGCTGGGAGGTAAGGCACAGGGTGGGCCCCTAGGAGAGCAGTGAGCCAGCACAGACATCAACATGGACAGTGCAAGGGCACTGCTGAGAGTACTTGGACACCCAGAAATGATTTTTTTTTTTAAATTTTTGTTACTAGGAATTGAATTCAGGACCTTGCACTTATCAGGCAGGCCCTGTGCTGCTGAGTTACGTCTCTGGCCCACAATATTTATTTTTATAGAATTTTTTACATTTATAAAATCTTGTCTTTGTAATATATAATAAGAATTCCCTAAGTCTGATGTGGGTGGTACACCTATAATCCCTGCGTTCGTGAGGCAGGTGTGAGCCCAGCCGAGACTATATAACAAGTTCAAGGCTAGCCTGTACAGTATAGTGAGATAGTTTCAAAAACTAAAACAAAAAAAACATTATGGGCACTTTTTAGAGGGCCAAGTATTAAAATCTTTGACAGGAAGGGTTTGTATGTGTATGATTTATACACACACGGATTTGTTTTTCTCTTATATCCTCTTTGTTCCCTAGTAAAGTTGTTTGAAGTCATTGAAACTGAAAAGACACTCTACTTAATCATGGAGTATGCAAGTGGAGGTAAGTACATTTTACTTACATAAGGTTCTTATTTGCTTCTTTCAAAAGAGTGCCCACGCACACTGCCTATATGAGTAATTGCCAAGGTTTCATTTTACATATGAACTCTTTAGGATGAGTCAGAAAATCTGACTGGTAGCAGTTCAGTGCTTTGCGGTAAGTGTCTCACTATTAGCATTATCAATAAATAATATCCATGTACTTGGATTTTTGCACTGTGGTAAAATATATATCATATAAAATTTTTTCAAGTGTGTTCAATGGCATGCATTAAGCACAACTGAGGGATGTGTCCGTTCACCCCACGCTGCCTTTTTCCCTGTTCTTCAGCTCCTTGTCTGGGTCTGTGAATCTGATTACTGTGCTGACCAAATAGATATTTCACTTAGCATAATGTCTCCAGAATTGTCCATATTGTGGCATATGTTAGAATCCCTTCCTTTTTAAAACCAAATAATATTTCTCTTTGTGTGTCTGTATGCACTTTATTTATCCTAAGTATTTGTATTTTTTAAAATGTACTAATGCATTAGTGAGCTGGAAATAAATGTAGTATATGTTAGGTGCTTAATCAAGTTTTTTGTTTTTTTGTGGTACCAGGGATCAAACTCATGACCTTACACTTGCCAGGCAGGCGCTATGCCACTGAGCTAAATCCCCAGCCCCTTTATCAAGTTTTAGTTGCATTGGTGTTCATCGTTCTCAAGGCCAGAAATGGAGGTTAGGGTACATATATAGACTTTATGAAAACTAAGGATTTGTAACTGTCTACAGGGTTGAAAAGTGTGTTTTCTGAAATGCATACATGTTGTTATTGTTCATAAAAATCCTCACTTTGAGAAGCTGGGCATAGCATAGCAAGCCAGTAATCCCAGTGCTCAGGAATTGAGGCAGGAGGATGCTGTGACTTTGAGGCCAGCCGGGACTATGCAGTGAGGTCAAGGCCAGCCTGAACCACATAGTGAAGTACAGGTTTGACACATGAATGACGGTGGTGGTTAGCTCAGCAGTATGAGCACCTGCCTGCCAGGCTTAAAGTTGTGAGCTAGTACCAAAAACCAACCAAACAAAACATATGAATGATGAAACCTGCCCTGCTTCCAAGAAACAGAAAATTAAAAATGCTTACTTTAGGGCTGAGATTTGCAGCTCTTCGTATGCCCTCTAGGTGGAGGGCAGTAGCTTTCCTGCTTATCTTTTCACTTTCTCTGCCTTTAGCACTGCTGGGCATGTAACAGATACTCAACAAATAAAAATTAGATTATATTTGTGAAACTAAAAACTCTGAAGACACATCCTGTTGTGCCCTACAGGATTATAGTTTTATCTTTAGTTCTTTGATCTCTTTGTTGTGGTTTTTGGTTTTTGGTTTTTTGAGACAGGGTCTCACTACACGCTTGGGGCTGGCCTTGAGCTCAGTATGTAGTCTGGGCTGGCCTTGAACTCACAGCAATCTTCCTTCCTCAGCCTCTTGAGTGCTGGGATCACAGATATGGACTACCAGGCCTGGCAGGTTCTTTGATCTTAATTACAAAACCTGGAAATACAAAATTGAATCATAGCTCAATGTTCAATGACAGCATTAAATAAAAGATTATAAACCTGGGCTGGGGATTTAGCTCAGCGGCATAAGCGCCTGCCTTGCAAGCAGGCAGTCGTGAGTTCGATCCCTGGTACCGATAAAAACAAAAAAAAACAAACAAACAAAAAAAAAAGATTATAAACCTTTAATGGGATGAATGAGTTACTGTAGTATACCTTGACACCACTTTCATATTCCTGATTTATCATTAGTAATGTGTTTTGTATTTTAAATGTCTGGTTTGGGAGTTTAGTTGGTATTTTCAAACTTGAACTCCAGGTTACTAGAGTTCCAACACTGCCATCTGTTGCACAAACAACACAGAGCAGTCTCCTCCCAATGTGCAGTATGCAGGGTGCTTGTCCTCCAGGCCTTCTTGACCTTCACATTGACCTTGATGTCGCCAGGCATGAAGCATGGCTTTAGCCCTTGAAGGGAGGGGACTGGAAAGGCCCACCTCAGTCACACTGCCATCAGCGCTATAGCATGGGTTTTCCAATTTGTCCGTCTGTTTTCACTTGTTTTAGGTGCCCAGGCAATAGAAATTACACTTAAAAGAAGGGCAAGACAAAAACCTGAGTAGCACCCCTATTTTTAGTAGAAAGAGGATCAACTTTAGAAAAGATAAACATGGGAAATTCAGCCAGTTGTCCTCATCAACCTTGTGACTTGAGGAGTGTCCCTCAAACAGCCCTAGTGTTATAATTAATGGGGGGTGGTGTGCTGTCTTGGGTAGGCCACTTGTTTTAGTCAGCGCACCACAACACTGTCAGTCTCCAGGACACATGAATGACAACAGCTTTAATCAGGTAGTCATCACTTCCCCCAGCATGGATTCGATAGAATCATAGAATTTTTTTAGGATTGCAGAGAACATTCATCCAGGACAGCTGTCTAATTTTTACAGATGAAACTAGAGTTTAGAAAGGTTGTCCTTTCCCAAAGGTTCCATAGCTAGTTGGTTGCAGGATGTAAACTAGAACCCTCTGGGCTTTCTGTATGCTGCCTGTCCAGTATCTTTCCACACAACGGTGTGTTTCCTGCCCTTGGCGGGAGTGCTGCTCGATGTCATCTCAAAGCTTTCCCTTTCTGTTTCTCTAGTAAATAGTCTTTGGGACTTGTCAGTTCAGCTGCCTGCTGAGTGTTAATGCGGTGTTAATAAGGAAAAAAGGAGAGATTAGGGTTAAATTCCTGGATTATAAATTGGATTCATGATTTATAATTTAGTAATTGTGAATGTGCTCTGTAGGTTCTGAAAATCTCTTAAAAAGTTTATATTACATTTGAATTTATAAAACTAAATTATAGACAGATCTGGACTTTTTCCGTGTTCCTATGTAACAGCCAGTAGCCTTCACCCACTGGTGGCTTTGTTTTGTTTTTTGGGGTTTTGTTTTATTTTTTGAGATAGGGTTGCACAGTGAAGTTCAGGCTGGCCTTGAACTCACAGTGATCCTCCTGCCTCTTCCTCCCAAGTCCTAGGATTATAGGCATACCACACTATGCTCAATATGTTATACCCTTTAAAAGATAGCTTTAAAATCAGTAATGTGGAAGTTTTGTGTGTTTGTTTGTTTGTTTGTTTGTTTTGGTACTGGGGATTGAACTCATGACCTTGGGTTTGCCAGGCAGGCACTTACCCCACTGAGCTAAATCTCCACCATGTAGAAGTATTTTTACCCATCTGTTTAAAATTTATTTACTCAAGAATTAGGGTTAAGTCAAAATTAAGTCAGTTATTAATATATAATTTATAATTTAAGTGAAAAGTCACTAAGGCTGATACAGGTCCATATTCTATGTTTTCTCAAAGCATCATCTGTCAACTTTTCCTTTTTTTTTTTTTTTTTTTTTTTTTTTTTGGTCTTTTTGAGGCAGGGTCTCACTGTGCAGTTCAGGCTGGCCTTGAGCTCATTTTGTAGCCAAGGCTGGGTTTGAATTTGCAATGATCCTCCTGCCTTAGCCTCCCAAGTGCTTGGGATTACAGGTAAGTGCTGGGATTACAGGCAGTTGCTGGAATTACAGGTGTGCACCATTGTACCAGGGCTGTCTTATTTTCTAGATGAGATTATTTTTTGTAGGTTGCAGAAGTAGTGTTTCTCCATTCTACATCCACGAGCAGTTGGCATCCACCTCAGTGGCCACTTTTACCCAGGGAGTTAACCTGCTTTTCCTGTGCTTAGATGCTCACCTGTCACCTGCATCATGTCCTGAGTCCTACGGCTCACTGCTGCTGCACCGCCATTCCCCTCAGGCATTAGCCTCCTTGGCTTGATGGTTGGGGCGGGTCTTCTACTTGGTCCCCTGTCCTTTCCCCTGCCGGTTACTCCTTTCTCTTCTAGCAGTCAGTGACCATTTGAAGAAGTGAGTCACTTCCTCTTCCCTGTATCTCATATCATTGGAAAGCCAGAGTCTTCACCAGAGTGCAGGCCTGTTACTTTCTGGAGACTCTTCTTTCAAATAATTATGATGTCTCCTTGTTCAGGCAATCACAGAGCACACACAAGTGTAGACATAGACATTCTTCCTGTTGCCTTTCCCTCCGTTTTCTTCTTGGCACTGACTTTCCTGTGATATCCTTATTATATGCATGTTCATTGTCTGTCTCCCATCCTAGAACTCTAAGGAAAATGCTTTACTGAGCTCACTGCTGCATTTATCCAGAGCCCAGATCAATGCCTGGCAGTTAGTAACCACTCAATAAGTATTTGTTGAATGAGTGAATGAATGAATGAATGAATGTAAGCTGGAAATGTTTTATGGTTATAATCTGCAGGAAGAACATCCTCTTTTAACACAAATAACAATCCATTTCAAGTTTCAATTTTTCATTGCTCGGTTTTTATTAAAACACTATAAAATCTTACTATTTAAAATGAAATCTGTGTAATTCATGCATATAAGGATTTAATTTTAAGGCTTTTCTTGGGGGCTCGGGATTTAGCTCAGTGGCATAAGCGCCTGCCTTGCAAGCAGGCAGTTGTGAGTTCGAGCCCTGGTACCGATTTAAAAAAAAAAAAAAAACTTAAGGCTTTTCTCCAGCTTAAAGATTTTTTTGGTGAACTTAAAAGCTTTCTTCTCAAAGTTTAATTTTTGGCTAGTTTAATGTAAACTCCATATTTCTAGCTAACTTCATACCTGTACTTAAATGAGGAGCATTGTGAAAAATGAAACATAATCAATTTGTGGGAACATTAATGCTCAGAAGTAGGTCTTCTGCTTACTTTTGTTTCTCTTCAATTATAGGTGAAGTATTTGACTATTTGGTTGCACATGGAAGAATGAAGGAAAAAGAAGCAAGAGCTAAATTTAGACAGGTATGAATTAATATGTCTTCAGTTTGCTGACTAACTAGTTATCCTGCTAAATCCTGATGCAAACAGTTGTTTGCTTCTGTAAATGCTTTTGAGGCTGGAGTCAAGCAGAGGCTGGCCATTCAGTTCATCAAAGACTTATTCAGTACCTTCTATGCTGGAAGCTTCTATGCTGAGTTTTTCTTTGATCTTGTTATTCTCACTCTTAACCTGCACTTTTGACAGGTGCACTGTAACAGTCAAGATCCTTTAACAGACACCCGGTAACTGCATTAATTAAACTCATTTCAGAATTTTTAGCAAGAATATCACAGTCCCACAATTCATTGTTTGTTTTGTTCTTTATAAGCTAAGGTCAGTATAGCTTAATCTGTCAGTAGCTTGTCTCCTTGGGTCTCCAAGAGACAAGTGTCTTCAGAGATACTCATTTTAATAGGCTGGTTTTAGGTGTAAAGGGATGTAATTCTTGTTTTTTATTTACAACTGTTATTATGGACTGATTGACCCTTACCTGCCAGACACTGAGATAAGCGATTCATGTAAATTTTGCAGCAACCTGTGAGTTGAGTATTATGCTCACATTTGCTAAAGAGTAAGACACTAAGGCATGGCGGGTTAGTGGCACAAAATTTCATACCTGTAAAGTAACAGATCAGCCATAGATTCAGACACAAACTCTTCAACTCTAAAACTCAGTCTTACTCATTGGGTTGTACTGTTCCGCAGAGGAGGTGCTGGTATGCTCTTCTGAAAGAGCCAGACCCAGGCCTTTCAGGCTCCATTACAGCTCTGGAGTGAAAAAACTAGGGTTGACCCTGTTTATCACAAAGAGCATAATTTGCCAGCCCCTGATTAAGACAAAGAGGACAGGTGTTCTGCTCCTTTTAAATTAACTCTGGACTGGGAGACAGAGTCCACTGCTCTGTTAAGTGTGCACAAGGCTCTGGGCTCAATCTCCCGCACTAAAATAAACAAATACTACATGCTCTGTACTGTTACTATTCTATATTTAAGTGACAGTGTGCTATCATTTTTCTCAGAACCTTTTTTTTTTTTTTTTAACTGACACATAAGATTGTCAGGATACACAAAATATTTAAAGTATTATGTTTTAAAGCGTGATTTTAGCTGATTTGCAAGTTGTCTCTTGACAGTTCAGCATTATAATTACATTATTATTATTGTTTTTACTTGTTTGCTTGTACTAGAAATTGAACTCAGGACCTTGTACCTTGCCAGGCAGGCACTTGTGCTGCTGAGCTGTATACCTGGCCCCTATTATTTTGGTTTTTTTTTTTTTTTTTTTTTTTTTTTTTTAAGGGTCTTTTTTCCTTTTTATCGGTACTGGGGATCGAACTCATGACTGTCTGCTTGCAAGGCAGGCGCTTATACTACTGAGCTAAATCCCCAGCCAGCCCCTATTTTGGTGTTTTTGAGAGAGGGTCCTTTTCTATAGTTCAGGCTAACCTCAAATTTGCAATGATCCTTTTGCTTCACAGGAGTGTGCTGAAATTATAGACTTAGGCCAACACACCCGGTTGTTGTTTTAATTTAAAAGCTTAAGAATTACTGATAAAGGGGACAGAAAGTAAACCTGCTGGATGTCTAGTACAAATCGTGTTCTCTAAAATCAAAGAATGAATCTGAGGAATAATAGAAGTTAAGAGCAGAATATATGTTGGGGAAGGAAAGCTTCAGTATGAGCGTGGGTTGCTGAGAACGCTGTCTTTTCTAGGGATATTTATGTGCAGAACCACAAGGTGAGGGGGTCCAAGGTGGGGAAACATGGGAAATCACAGGGTGGGGCTAAACTGTGGTCAACCAATAAGATTATGAGCATAATTGCCCAGGTAATACCGATTAAATGGGGATCAAATTGCAATGACACCCAGAATCTGGAGGCAGATTTTTTTTTTTTTTTTGGTCTTTTTTCGTTTTTATCGGTACCAGGGATCGAACTCACGACTGCCTGCTTACAAGGCAGGTGCTTATGCCGCTGAGCTAAATCCCCAGCCCCTGGAGGCAGATTTATTCACACTGAGGGCACTGATCAGGCATCGTTCTCAAAATACGTCTGGTGGTCTAGGGCTTTCATAGGATAAGCAAGCAGGAAGTACAGAAGCAGAGTGGCTTGTCAGTTGGGATTGGTTCTTACAGTATGCATCACGGTGCCGGCCGTTTCTAGGAGACAAAGCAACGGGAACTGCAACAGGAACTGTGACCTGGGCAACTAAGAGACAAGTATCCCGGCAGGGGCAGGATGCATTTTCTGTTACAGAATGGGAAAGGAAGCAAGCGGGCATGAACCAGAACAGGCTTTTCCTGGAGGGAGTGGATCCATGGCTCTTCCTGGCGTTTTCAAGATGATGGATACCTAGTTAGAACATCAGTCCCTGTTGTTTATCTTCAGGGGAAGTATGTGGGTGTGTTCATTTCACCTTCTGTCCTGAGGTCTGACCTTCAGCAGATGTGTCTGTCACCCCCACAGGTGCAGTGAATCCCATCTTCTGCCCTGGCTCCTCCAAGGGTCCAGCCCTGTCTAGCTGCCTACAGTATTTTATCTAACTTAGCTGTCTATGACAGTACTAATGGTACTTAAGAGTTTTTAAAGAATCAGAGTTCAAACTAGTTGTGGCTGTGTTTAGCTTGTCAGACCCTCAGTTCTTAGCCACTTAATGAGAACCTGTCATAAAAAGGGGCTAGAGCTGAGCAGCAGCAGCAGACACCACAAGACCATTTCCCAGTTATGCCCTATCACCAACTGTTGATTAATGTTCAAAGCCATATTCTCTAGTGGCCTTGTAAGTGAAATGTTGAGTTTGGTTTGTTAAGAATTGCAAAGGACAATTACTGAGTGCTTCTGCATAGATCTTAGATCTCCCCAGGGGAGGGGCTTCATGGCACAGTTTGTGCTGTGCATTTCTTCGTGCAATCTCTTTAGTTCCTTGGAACCCAAAAGTTCCTCCTCTTTATTTTATTTTTGGTTGTTTTGTTTTTTGAGGCAAGGTCTTGGTATGTAGCCCAGCCTGGCCTCAACTCATGGCAGTCCTCTTGTGTCTGCCTCACAGGTGCTAGGATCTCAGGCATGCAATACCATGCCTGGCTTATTTTCTGTTTTAGTCACTAACTTGCCCAGGCTGGGCTAGAACTTTCTCTTTTTTCCTTAGCCTCTTAGTATAGTGAGATTACAGGCCTGTGTCAACATGCCTGGCTATATTTCTACTTTTTAAATCGCTATTATTTCTAGGAGCTTATAAATTGAGACAATTTCAGTGACTGTATTAAAAAAAAAAGATTTCCTGTTTGTGACAAAGAGGAGGGTATTCTGCATGCATGGTGCGCTGGGTGTGACTTGCTGTGTGCCATAAATAGGCCCTTTGTTTCATCTTCACCAGCACCCGGTTTTCCTCCCCATTTCCTTCACCATCCCCATCCTGCTTGCTGCTTGTGACATTTTAATTTCTTGCTTAACCTCTCATTCCTTTCAAAGAAAAAGAGGGCTCCTGGCCATGTCTTTTTGCTGAACTTCTTCCTCTGTGGGAGTTGATGTTCTAGTTTTTCGTGGATGAAAGTGAATTAGGTCAGGATTCCTGTTATATCCCGGAATACTGCTCCTCGATTAATAACAATTTTTTTTTTTTTTTTGTCTTTTTCCTTTTTTATCGGTACCAGGGATCGAACTCATGACTGCCTGCTTGCAAGGCAGGCACTTATGCCGCTGAGCTAAATCCCCAGCCCCGATTAATAACAATTTAAAAACTGTGTTTGAGCTGAGTATTTTCAGGTTATTATGGCCTCAGGTTACCTTTGAGCTGTTTAGCGCTAAAGGAAGAGAATGATCTAAGAAAGGACATGAAATTAATAGTTTGTGATTCCAAGCAGAATTTGAAAATAATTTACAAGAAAAGCTCTAGATAAGAAAACCTGGGAAGAAAGATTAATAAAATTATTAAATGAGTGGTGGGCATGGTAGCACACATCTGTAATCCCAGCACTTAGAAGGCAGAGACAGGAGAATCACCAGAGTTTTGAGGCCACCCTGGATACATAGTGAGACCCTGTCTCAAAAAAAGACTGGGTCGGGGCTGGGGATTTAGCTCAGCGGCATAAGCGCCTGCCGTGCAAGCAAGCAGTCGTGAGTTTGATCCCCGGTACTGATAAAAAGGAAAAAGACCAAAAAAAAAAAAAGTGTTACAGCTCTTTTAGAATTTGTCTAGTAGGTTTTCTGGCGTTTGTTGGGAAACCCCTAAAAAAAAAAAAAAAAGACTGGGTCAAGAGAGCCGTCCTTGGATAGCCCACCTTCCACTGAGGGTGAGGGACCCTGACTGGCAGTCCTCACCTGCCTGAGCAGTGACATCCTACCTCAGAGCTGGAGCCCACACCGTGTCCCACCAGGTGATGGAGCTCTGTGACCCCAGCTCACACCCCTGCCACTGTCCCTCACTCAGGCCAGAGAAAAACAAGCCAAGGCACCACCACGTTCTCTAGCTGAGACAAAATAGGTGGATGTCTCTTCAGTTGATGATTCTGTATGATCTGCTGCTTTCATCATGGAGCAGAAAGAAAACAATAGATAAAGACGTTGACCCTATGGTGGTTTTACCTGGAAATATCATCAGATCTACTACCAGTCTATACTTGTCGATACTGCTGGGTGCACAGTATCACTTAAGTCCAGTCAAGTTACAGAGTTGACCTGCTGTCAGCTGAGAGTAACATTAAATTTAAGCCAGTCACACCAATAGAAACATTAGATATAGAGAAAGTTTGACTGATTGATTGATGGATTGATTTTTTGGCCTTTTTTGAGTCAGGGTCTTGTTATGCAGTTTAGGCTGACCTTGAACTCTCTTTGTAGCCCAGGATGGTCTCAAACTCCCAAAGATCCTCCTGCTCCAGCCTCCCCAGTGCCCAGGTTTGCATCACCATACCCAGCTGAGAAAGTAATTTTAAAGCCAAAAAATTTGGATAAGAGAAAACCTACACCTAAATGCCAGAGAAAACTGTGGAGATAGTGATCAATTTTAAGGAAACAGATCATGTGAGAGTCCACGTTTCACTTCAAGAGTTCGTTCCTACTATATGTAGCAAGTATGTGTTTGACCCATTGCACACACTGTTGCTGAAAGATAATCAATCTGAGGGACCTGCAACTTCACACAGTCTCTTAATGACCCGAGATTGAGAGAATTACGTGCCATGGATGTTATAGAGCCACTTCTGTCACTGCCTTCAGTGAGTCATCTTTACAAGTCTTCTCAAATATCAGCATATCTCAGTATTAAGGAGGAGAAAGCAAGCAGTTTTTCAACACAGAAAAAGTGGGAGCAAAGTGCTCCTGCAACCCCTCTAATAAATAAGCAGTGCCCAACTTTTGTGAGATCAGTACCCTTTCCAGGGCATGTGTGTCCAGCACCCTGCAATTGGATTAGTCCAAGAAGAGGCAGCCCCACTACCACCCATGTTACCATCTCAGAGTGTACCCCAAGACCATGAGCAACCCCAGGAGAACCAGTCTGTTCTGCATTGAAGTCCACAGGTATGAAGGAAGCTAATGAGAATCTTGGTGAAGTAGGAAAGTGAGAGTGGACTCACTGCTGCTCACCAGCACATCTGAAGGAAATTTTTCTTGGAGAAGGACAAAGCGAAAAGTAACTTCTGCACCCTCCAAAGTCCCCTGCATCAAAGTGATGAAGATGGCCCTGTGCCTGCCCTGCAAGCATAGATGGAGTTTCCCCAGAGTGCTTCTGGAGCAACCTCTCCCGGGGGCCTCCACGGCCCAGCCATCAGGAAAAATGTGCTGCACTCAGACTGCTTGACAAAGCCTCTCTCTGTGGAGGCCCGCGCACCCCCCCCCCCCCGCCCCCGGCAGTTGTAGCATCCTCAACATGTGGAACAAAGTAAGCTTCCATTATAGCCTTGAAGAGATGGAGGAAAAGGAAGAACTGAGATGCCTAAAGATGAGGCTGAAAATGTTTCCCTGAGGTCACCAGACAGTCCTTTCTATCTACTGATATAAGTACACTGAAGAAGGATCCTGACTTAGATGGGAGTGAATAGATCCAGAAGGAGCCTGGGGGAAGTTACCCATGTCCTTGGTGTATTTTTGCTTATTGATAATGGACGGGCTCCATTCTGAATATTCATTTTAGCAAAGCCCTGTTCCTTCCTATCATTTAATCCTAACCCCCAGCCCAGCTTCTCCTTCCTGCTTGTTTTGAGCCAAAATACAGAACCACCCTCTGAGATTTTATGTCCACCATAGGTGGATCCATGTGGTTTACAATTAAGGGTTATGATGCTTTGGGGAAACAGTATTTTCATGGTAACCCCAGTTTTGTACAGACAATAGTCATCACACATATCTAATTGCTACATGTGAAAATACCAAAGAAGTGACTAGAAGCAAAGACAACAAAATAATAAGACATGTTACCTCTACTTGGTAGTAATATAGGCATATACTTACATACTTCTCTGTAAAATTTCTATAGTAAACATGAAATTTTTATAGTTAAAAATTGAAACTTTCAAAATCGTCAGTATTTGGGAAATTTCAATAAAACGGTTTAATTAGCATAAAAGTTTACATAGTAGCTTACAGTTTGTTTCACATCCAGAACATTCCGTTCTTTTTAAGGAAAATGAAGCTGAGGTTAAGTACTTGGTACTTTCCTGAAAACTCCTACATCAGCTGAGAGGAAGAAGTGCTATAGGGAGTGGCTGGGAAGAACAACACACTTAGCAGAGGAGACCCACCTGGGCCAGTACGTGGCCCGAGAGCCTGTGAGTTCCAGTTTCCTTAGGAGCCGCACTCACAGGCTTTGGAAGTACTCCAGAATCATTCAGTCCCACACCTTGCAGCTGGTGGGGGTCTATATGAATGCTTGGCCCCATGGAGAAATGAACAGAATGTCAACAGGTGGGGTCCAAGAAGAGACTTCATGTAAAACTGGAGACAATATAGCAGGATGATGTGGGGCATACCTGGAGTCCTTGCATTCTGGGAGGCTGAGGCAAAAGGATAAAAGTTGGAACCCAGGCCAGGCATTGTGATATATGCCTGTTATCCTGCTGAGGCCGAAGGGTTGCTGTGAGTTCAAGGCCAGTGTGAACTACAAAGTGGGAAACTGTCTCAAAGAAAAAAAGAAAAGAAAAAGTTTGAACCCAGCCTAGGCAACTGAGGAACTTAGTTAAGACTTATCAAGCCCTGCATTAAATCCCACGTACTGCCAAAAGCAAGCAAGCAAGCAAACAAAAACAGCAAGAAGTCCTCATCTCTGTCCTGAATTAAAAAGGTCAAAACCTAAGAAAATTGTTTTTATCAAATCCATTTTATTTCAAAGAGGAAAAAAAAGACAATTGTTTTTTTAGAAACGCACATGTTCAGGAGCTTCTGAGCCTTTTGCAGGTGAGAGTGTTAGTGAGGTCTTACCGTCTTGATTCTGCATCTGCACCAGGGTGACTAACTCTTGCTTCTCTCCTGTCTAGATCGTGTCTGCAGTGCAATATTGCCACCAAAAACGGATCGTTCACAGAGACCTCAAGGTGAGTCAGGTGCCCTTGCTGAGCAAATGTTCAGTCTTCCTGTGGGTCATTTCACAAAGAAGCATAGATAAGATTGAATCCTATAATAATTGAATCATTTTCATCAAGTTATAGTAAGAAGCACTAAAAATAAATTGGGCATGGTGGTGTATGCCTATGATCCCAGTTCTCCAAAAGGCTGAGTCAGGAGGATCACAAGTTTGAGCCAGCTTAGACATCTTAGCAACTTAGTGAGGCCTTGTTTCAAAATTTTAAAAATAAAGGTTGGGGTTATAACCAAGTGTGAAGCCCCCAGATTCAATCCTCAGTATCAAAAGTGAAATATAAAGAGATAGGCAGGAGGAAAGAAGGAAGAAGTGCGTTAAAGCATTTCACATTTCAGTGAAGGCTGCAGGTGGTTGATCTCTGGAGGGCCTCACCAACAGTGTCCTCACAAACAGACAGGCAGGTAGGTCCTCGGGTGCTCAAACGCCTGGACAGAGTACTCATTATTGCTGGCACCTGCATCTGTTGCCAAGTGGGCTTTCCCTCCTGCAGCAGAGTGCCTGTGTGAGGCCTCCCTTGGGTCTGCACCCCGAGCCTTGCTGCTCAAGTACACGCTCACAGGAGCAGTTTGCCTGGCAGAGCCTTAGGTCAGGCTGCACCTGTTCGTCTTGTCCCAGGAATCTGGGTGCCTCTGTACATCCTGCTTTGTTAGCACCAAGCCCAGCTCACTTTGTGGCCCTCTGTGGTTCAGTGCAGCCCCTGCCCATCCCTGCACCTCTTTTTCCCCACACACCATCTTTCAGGCTTTTGAAGGAAACTTGTTTTCTCTTCACTGTGCGTTTCACACTCTATTCTGTCTAGAAACACTTGCTGCCGTAGGCTGCACCTTCTTGGGCTTTGATTTCAATTTCCTTGAAAGTTGTCCACTGCTCCTGGTGCTGAGCCCCTGGTGGGTGTCTCTTTTGTCACAGCTCTTGGTCTTGGGGCTGCTGCTTGTCTTTCTGCCTCACTTCTCAGCTGTGAGCTGCCAAGGGCAGAGCCCTGTCTCTCTCATCACTGTGCATCCAGACTCCTGTCTACTGTCTGTTTTGTGATAGTCAGACAGTAGCTGGTTGAGCTGGTTGAAGTAAATGAAAGTTGCTGTGTTTAGTTTCTTGGGTGTTTTGGGGCTTCTTCCCTTCCCAGTACCGTAATAAATGTGGCAGTCTTCTTAAAGCAAATACCTCTTTCGTTGAAATACTCTTCATTGAAAGAGCAATAAAAGCTTTTCCTGTCTTGATGTATTTATATTAGTGCTGTATTCTATCTGTATGTAAAGGGGAAGTTTGGGATAGGGCTCAATGGGCACATCGCCTGCCTGGCAAGCATGAGGTCCTGAGTTTGATTCCTGGTACCAAAAAAAAATCCATATGTAATATCTGTTATTGATTGATAATATTATAAAATTAGTCTATTTTATTTTTTCTCTAGAAAAAAATAATAATTATGTCAAAATATTTTGCAAAACATTTTATGAAATACCTAATCCTGTTAGAGTTATGATTATATTTTGTTTTAAGTTTCATTTTTGTCTTGATGTTTTTCCCCCTAGGCTGAAAATCTATTGTTAGATGCGGATATGAACATTAAAATAGCAGATTTTGGTTTTAGCAATGAATTTACTGTTGGCAATAAACTAGACACGTTTTGTGGTAGTCCTCCATATGCAGCCCCAGAGCTCTTCCAGGGCAAGAAGTATGATGGGCCAGAGGTGGACGTGTGGAGTCTTGGCGTGATTCTCTACACCCTAGTTAGTGGGTCGCTTCCCTTTGATGGACAAAATCTGAAGGTACGAAAAACAATTGCAGCCATGTTCTTCATAAAACTTAACAAGATTTTTATAAAATTGTATGAATTAGTATTTTTATGTCAGTTTAGGAGTTTCAGTTAGTGTTTGTGTGTTGTTTTTTTTAAACCTAAAAGTTGACTCACTACTTTTCTTTCTTTGTGTTTCGAAGGAACTGAGAGAAAGAGTATTAAGAGGGAAATACAGAATCCCTTTCTACATGTCCACAGACTGTGAAAACCTTCTCAAACGCTTCCTGGTGCTAAACCCAATTAAACGTGGCACTCTAGAGGTAACCACAAATGGTTGGGGCGTGCTGGGTATTTTCACTGCTTTGCTGGGGTGGTGTGATATACTGATTATACTTTCCTGGTGTTTTTTAAGCAGAAAGTGTGACCAAAATGACAAGAAAAATGTACTTTTTGAGCTATAATTCAAAGAAATTCTTCTTTTTATGGGAGTGGGTTTTTTGTTTTTGTTTTGTTTTTGTTTTTGTTTGTGATGGTGTTGGGGATTGAACTCAGAACCTTGTGCACATGCTAGGTAAGCACTCTTACCACTGAGCTATATCCCCAGCCGAGTGTTTTCTTAAATATTATGGTTATTGAGATTTTTATGATGCTAATGGACAGGTTACACTTTCAGCAAATCATGAAGGACAGATGGATCAATGCAGGGCATGAGGAAGATGAACTTAAACCATTCATTGAACCAGAACTAAACATCTCAGACCAGAAAAGAATAGGTAATTAATCTGTGTGTGTGTGTGTGTGTGTGTGTGTGTGTGTGTGTGTGTGTATGGGTGTGTGTAATATGTTTCTGTTTTGTCTCCAGTGTGTATACCTCAAATGTAAATGAGAGGAAGTTAGACACAGAATATATAAACCAGCTTCTTTGTCATATTGAGGAACTTACTGCCAGCAGTTTCCTAAACCAGCACCCAGCAGCTTGCAAAAATGTTTAGCTGCTCATTTATGTTAGAAAACCTGTATACCACCCCCCCGCCCACTGCTAAATTTGACTGGCTTTAAAAAAAAAAAAAAAAGAAAAGAAAACCTGTAACCAGGCATAGTAGCGCACATCTATAATTCCAGCACTTTCAAGGCTGAGGCAGGAAAATTGTTGCAAGTTCAAGACCAGTGTGGGCTACATAATGAGCTTGAGGCCAGCATAGCAATACCCTATCTCAAAAAGACAAAAAAGAAAGAATATATATAATTTTTTAGATCAGATAAAAATTATTTTACTCTGTTCATAATGATTTCTTATTCAAACAAAACATATAAACCATATTATACTTTTCTTTTAGATATTATGGTAGGAATGGGATATTCACAGGAAGAAATCCAAGAATCTCTTAGTAAAATGAAATATGATGAAATAACAGCTACATATTTGTTGCTGGGGAGAAAATCTTCTGAGGTAAGAGTAATCAGAGAGGAAGGAATTGAAATAATTCTTTAAAAATTACCAATTTATTTAAATTGTTTCCTTAGTTTTTGTTTTTTTTTAATATATATGACATATTTGGCACATCATTTTTTAAATTTACCTGTAAATAACAAATCTGTAAATGATCATTTTGAGCTACTATTTTAAGTAATAACCCCATATAATGGGTATTGTCATAAAAAGGGCATTCATAAATTATCCTAGAGTCACTAATAGCTTATTAATCATTGTAAACTATCACATGAAATAAACAGAGGGTCTGTAGTTACTTGAAACAGGTTAGAAAGAAGACCCTTTTAAGAGTTGCCTCAGTGATCAGTAGAACGCTTTTGCCCTGTGTAGGGTTGTCACTTTGTGCTTTGTGGCCCACCTCTCCAAGAGAGTACTCTTGAGAGGTGTGTGATCAGAGAAGCTTGATTTTCCTGACAAGCCATTGGGCACTGTGTGTGGTTGCGACTCTTCTCATTCTCCCCCAGCTGGACGCTAGTGACTCCAGTTCTAGCAGCAACCTTTCACTTGCTAAGGTGCGGCCAAGCAGCGACCTCAGCAGCAGCACCGGCCAGTCTCCTCACCACAAAGTGCAGAGAAGCGTTTCTTCCAGCCAGAAGCAGCGGCGGTACAGTGACCATGGTGAGTCTGAGCTGTTCCCTTGGCTTCTAGGAGACATCTTCTTCGCGGGGTCTTTTGGGATAGAAATTGGCTTGAGGTCCACTTGCATTATTTGGCATTCTTGCAGAGGCTGGGATCAAGGCTCTCATCTCCTTGGTGCCTTTTCTTTGGTAGACTTTTACTGAATGAGGCCAGGTTGAGTAGAAAGGGCACCCTCTGCCCTCCAGGACTCCCGTAGCTGTTTCCATCCCTTTACCTCTGCCTGGGCTTGCTTTCTAGGGTGCACTATGTGATAGAACTCTCTGTGCTGATGAATGTTCTGTGTCTGTGTGGTCCAGCTCAGTGCCTCCTACCCCTGGAAGCTGTTGGACACTTGAATGGCATGTTTAAATTTTGTTCATGTGAATATATATGGCCACATGTGGCCAGTGACCATCCTGTTGGGCAGGGCAGTCCTGGTTCTGACTTGGATCAGCTTACGTTTTTATCATTCTCTCCACTGATGCTGCTGGTGCACAGTAAACACTGCTGCTTAGTAAGGCTGTGGGCCCCAGTGAGTGTGCTGACCCAGCCCTGCAGGGATTCTGCCCCAGAGCAACCCTGAGTTAAGAGTCCCGAGATGTTAGCATGGTAATTTTTTCACTGGTAACTATAAATGCAAATGTAAAAATCACAGGCAGTATTCTCGGGTTCAGGAACTAAATATTTTGGCCTAGTCCTGAGTTCTAAGAATAATCCTTCTTAATGCAGAATTCAGTTCATCCTTGTTTATTTTGTTTCCCTTTTCGGGATATTTTTTTACCTCTACTTTTAATCTTGAGATTTGAAACTGAGAACTACACAGAACATGCCAGGTGTGCACAGTTTGGATTTTGCACTAAAATAATGACAGTTAGCTTGATGTTCACCTCTGCCCCTACTGCCGCATGTCTTGAGTGCTTGGCCCAGAGTGGCACAGTACACCAGCAGCACCGTCCACCATGTCTGCTCTCAGGGGCAGAACTGACTCACAACCACTACCTTGCCAGGATGTGTACTCATGGCACTTGGAATTCGAGTGATAAGCTGGGGCCCTATCTCCTTGTGTCCCCATTTTGTTGACAAGGGGGTTGTCAATCTCAATGCACCGCATGGTAACTAGCAAATGCCCACATAGTGCACTAAACCACCCACTTTAAAAGCTATATCCCCCCTGGGCTGGGGATATAGCTCAGCAGCACAGCACCTGCCTCACAAGCACAAGGTCCTGAGTTCAATTTCTGGTACTAAAAAAGAAAGAATTGTTCTTAAATCTGGGAAGAAATCTAATGATGGAATTTTCTTATCCTTCTGGTGGATATCTTAATGTTTGTTCTTAAGTATATAGATTCCATCTAGATTATTAATGCCTCTTTCCCCCAGTTCATAAAATTTTAGAGATTAAAAAATAAAAATGGTAAAAAGACTTTTAGGCAGGACTTAGCAGTACCTATCTACAACCACAGCTACTCAGGCCTAAGGCAGGAGGATCACGAGTTCACATCACCGTGGGTAAGTTCGGAAGACTCTGTCTCAGAATGAGAAGCATTGATTATGTAGCTCAGTGATAGAGCACCCTTGGTTTCAGTTCCAAGTACCATGATATTAAAAGGGTGGGGCTTTAAAACCTGGTGTCATGTACTCACGAATCCTCCATTTTATTAATAAGCCCAGAGGAAGTCACTCCCTCATCCTGTGGCTTGTCTGCTAGAGCACCTCCTTAGAGTAGTATATTTGTAAAAACTTCCAAAAGCTTTTTTCTTCTAATATTACAAAGAAGTCCATACAAGAATATTCCAGAAATATGTTTATAGAGAAAACTACTGACTGACCAAGTCTCCAGCTGTTTTATTTTTTACAGAATTGATGGTAGTGAACACAAAGAGGCCCAGCTGCACTGTGATCTTCTAGTGGTAAAAAGGGTCAGGTCCCCAGGTGGCCTCTAGCACAGAGCACACTGGGGAGCTGCTAAGGGCTGGACCAGCTAGCTGTCTCCCCTGGGTGTGCACCCACCTCTCTAGCCACCATGTATTCTATAGATGTGCTGTGGGGGCAGAAGGCTTGGCTTGGCCTGTGAGACAGGGTCTCACTGTGTAGTCCGGGCTGGCCTTGAACTCACAGTGATCATCTCTGAGTGCTGGGATTCCAGGTGTGTGCTCCCAGCCTCACTTTGTGGCTGTGCTTTTTAACACTAGACCCAGTGTGAACCACTACAATGTGTGCACACTTTTTCTGCAAAGAATGATCTTCATCAGGTTTTTAAAGGGTTGTCCATCACACATTTACTAATCAAGCTGAACACGGTGGCATGTGTCTATAATTCCAGCACCCAGCAGCAGGAGGATCGCCAGCCTGGACCATAGCAATAGTGGTAAGGCCAGACCTTCTGGTGCAGGCCTATAATCCCAGCATTCGGGAGGCTGAGGCAAAAGGATCACTGTGAGCTCAAGGACAATCTTGGCCACATAGTGAGTTGAAGGCCTGGCTGAACCACATAGAGAGTCCTTGCCTTTAAAAAACAACCAAAAAAAAAAAAAAAAAAAAAAACAGGAGCAATTTGAAAATCATCCGAAAAAAATTTGAGATCTGTTTCCTACATCTTTAAAAGAATAAATTCCATTTGAAGTCAAGTTAAGGCATAAATCTAAAAAATAACAACCCTAGAAATGTGAAAAGGAAACATGGAGGCTGGAGCTCTAGCCCAATGGCCTTGCCTGGCATGTAAGGCTGTGGCTTCAGTCCCTAGTAGCGCGCGCGCGCACACACACACACACACACACACACACACACACACAGAGAGAGAGAGAAAGGAAGAAAGAGAAAGATATACCAAGGGAACAGAGAGCTTGTGCTGGGTGAAGAGAAGAGATGGAGAGGAAAGATAATTTGTTTTGTAACTTATACTGGTAACTACAATTCCAGTCTCTAAAGCCATGAAACAAAAGACTTAAAAATTGACTGCAGGAAAATCAAATTTCTGGGTGATGCATCCATGCCACTACCTACTTTTTTTTAGCACTAGAGATTGAACCCAGTGCCTCAAGCATGCTAGGCTAACACTACCATTGAGCTACCTCCTAAGCCCATACCACCAACTACTACACAATACAAAGGAATTGATAAAACAACTCACATGTTTCAAGGGACCTATCCTGGGGAGGAAGGGTCTCAGATTGCCCTGTCTTAACAGTCTCAAATGACAGAGACAGACAGCAGGACAGTGGTTGGCAAAGTTAGGAGAATGGGCATGGAGTAAGAGAGAGGTAGCTGAGATCATGAAAAGGTGCTGCTAGGACTTTCCAGTGGAACTTTTCTGCACCTTGATTGGTGATGCCTGTGAGAATCTACACACAGGATAAAAGGACAAACGATAAAAACATAGACACATAGCAAGTGCAAGCCTCTGGGTCCCCAGTACAAAAAAAAGGAAGTAGAAATAAAAATGTGCACAAAGGAATGCAACTAACCCTGGGAGAATCTCAGTGAGATTGTACATTCAGGTTCTCATACCCTAAAATGTAAAGACTTTTTAAAAATTTTCTAAATACAAAGGTTGCAAAACAAATCAGTACTAGCCAGAAGTGGCAGCACACATCTGTAATCCCAGCACTCTGGAGGCTGAGGCAGGAAGATCACTGAGAGTTCAAAACCAGCCTGAACAGTATAGTGAGACCAAGTTTCAAAAAGAGGGGAAAAGGGGCTGGAGATTTAGCTCAGCGGCATAAGCACCTGCCTTGCAAGCAGGCAGTCATGAGTTTGATCCCCGGTACTGATAAAAATGAAAAAGACAGAAAAAAAGAGGGGGAAAAAAAAGTGCAAATCAGAAGAAAAATAAATAGGGTAATATCAACCTGTACATGGCAAATTCTTTGTTTTTACGTGTTAAAATTGCCAACCTATAACTCTAGAATTTAGATTTTGGTCCAGGAAATACCTACTGTTTGCCTCTCTCCTTTCAAAGAACTAACATTTAGAATAAATGATGAGCATTTGTGTTGTACCTTAAGATTTCCGGCTGGTCCGAAGGTAGTGAGTTATCTCAACTGATTGTTCACAGTCAGTACAGATTGAACTCTTTGTTCTGCTCTTTCCCCCCTTCTCACTACTGCACTTGACTAGTCTTTAAAAAAAAAAAATTCCTCTGGGCATCATCATGTCTGATGAGTACGCTAACTTTCATGTTTGATTTCCAAATTCTCTTGATTTCAGCATTGAGGTCCCCAGATGACTCACCATAGAATTAACTGTTCATGCACCTGGTTTATCACGGGTCCATCCTGGCACACTGCTCCTGGAACAGGCCATGACCAGGAACCTCCACCCACTTCCTCCCTCTTGCTTGTGGGAAAAATATGTTTTCCTCTGCTTCTACCACCTTCCCCTGTCGACTCAAAGTCCTGTTTATTTCCAGACTATGAGTGCAGTATAAGCACCCAAGATAAAATTTTCAAAGAAATAACCCATGAAGTCTGTACTGTTCTCTTGTAAAAGATATAGGCCCCTCTCATATGAAAGTGACATGTTGTTCAGCTACACCAAGAGAACAGTTCATGCTATATGACAGACGTGCACCTCCTTATCTAGCAGTGACAACCCTCTAAACCTATATAAATAGGAAATATCTCAAGAGGATTTTACTGTTCTACTCTTTGGTGGTAAATAGCAGTGTCTGTCTTTAAAAATATGTTTATTTTCACAGAATAAAATGTGAAGCTGTGTTTTACAGAGTCAGTTTTCATTCTTTATTTTAGCTGGACCAGCTATTCCTTCAGTTGTTGCATATCCAAAGAGGAGTCAGACCAGCACTGCAGACAGTGACCTCAAAGAAGATGGAATTCCCTCCCGAAAATCTAGCAGCAGTGCTGTGGGAGGAAAAGGGATTGCGCCAGCCAGCCCCATGCTTGGGAATGCAAGTAATCCCAACAAGGCAGATATTCCTGAACGCAAGAAAAGCCCTGCTGTCACCAGCGTAAGTATCATTGAGCTGCTGGGCTGGGACCAGCTGGACACAGCTTTTGCGAGTCCAACCCTTATGCTCTGCGGTCTCCTCTGTCCCTCTGCCAGGCCACCGTGCTCAGAATCCCACTTGCTGCATTGTGGATATTTCTTCCTGACATCCATCATTTTAGTACGTTCCTGGGCTAGGTGATTTATGAGGAACAAAAATTGATTTCCTAGGTTCTGAAGACTGAAAAGGCCAAGATCAAGATGACAGTGCATTGTCCCAGGAGGATTATTGTCTACTTTTAAGATGTGGCACTGTTGCCACATCATTTAGGAGAAGACAGTATCCTTACAGAAGCTGTAACCCTGGCCCCTCAAGCCCTTCTGTAAGGCACTAATGGCCCCCAACAACCCCACTTCTTATTTTTCCCCTCAATTCTGGGATTGAACTCAGGGCCTTCACACTGCTATATCTCAAGTCATTTTTGTTTTATTTGGGAGAGGATCCTGCTGCTGCACAAGCTAGCCTTGAACTTCCCTGCTTCCACTCTTGAGTAGCTTGGATTATAACAGGCCTGTGCCATCATGCCAAGCTAGATCCACTTCTTCATACTGTTAACATTAGATATTAAATTTCAATGTGAATTTACTGTTGAGAGACAAACGCTCAAGTGCAGCATATCTCCCACACACTAGAGATGTCATGCGGTTGGTCCTGTGTGCGAGGGCCTTTCACGGTTACTCACACATCTGCCAAGGTTTAGGTTACACAATCTGACAAGGTGCCAACAACAACTGTGTCTATGCAGAGAGGTGACAGCAGACAGAAGCATGATGGACCGTGTTGGGAGGTGGACACTGTGCTTAGTGCAGTCTGCTTGCACTAAGAACTGGCAGTGTACTAGGGAAGCCAGTCAACTAGATACAAGGTGAAGACAATGAAGGATGGTTAGATAATTGCCTCAGTCACCCTTCCGGCCGCAACCATCTTTTAATCCATGCTCTGAATAAAATGGTAGTATTCTTTAAATTATATCAAAATCCATTCAGCTTTAGAAGCCTTTCCTGTGGGTTGAAGTGGCTTTCTCTGACTTAGCACAATAATTATTCTTAACACTCCCAGAAGTAATTTTGGGAATAATTTGTAGAAAAGTGAGCAGTCTTGGAGCTGGAGGTTTAGCTCAGCGGCATAAGTGCCTGCTTGGCACATGTTGAGGTCGTGAGTAGAATCCCCGGCACCAAAAAAAAGAGAGAGAGAGGGAGGAGGAGGGGGAGAGAGAGAAAGAAAAGTGAGCAATCTTAAAGTTACTTTGCAAGTGTGTTGAGAGCAACGCAGCCCCACACCTACAGAAAAGCCCCAGACAGGAGCCTTGAGAACCTGCTGCTCCCTTGAGTACCCTCCTTTGTGGCCCCCAGGGACAGGAGTATATCAGGGAGCCCAATGTATGTCTCTTCCTCTAATACCGTGCTTGTTCTCCAAATGCCATGAGATTGTTGCTTCACCCTACTTTTGTTGACAGCAGGATAAGGATTTCATTCTCTGCCTTTGTGAATTTCTGTCCCTGAAGCTCTTAACTCCCCTTCATGCTACCCTTGTAAAGTATATCCTGAGCTTTGTCAGCTACCCATACTTGTCTACACATGAAAGAATACTTAACACTTGTATTAATCAGTTTCAGGTTATTATAAGAAGTTACCTTAGCAGTTAACTTAAAAATTTGGCCCAGAGTTTTGAAATTCCACTCCAGTGCAGGTCACCCATATAGCGGTAACCCTCTGGTGATAAAACACATCCTGGCAGGGGCAAGTGGCAGAGTAAACCACTTGTTTCCTGAGCGTGTCGCTTTGGGGGCACGGCCTGAAGACTCAAGAACCCCCTGGGCCCCACCTCTTAGGTCAGGGTCTCCGTCTACCTCCTCAATCTCACCCTGGAGCCCAAGCCTCTACTGGGTGGGCCTATGGAGGAACTCATCCAGCAACACTGCTTCTCTCATTTGTCTCTGGAGTTTGACTCTGCTGATCTCATTCTGTGGAAAAGGTAACTGCTTGGTTTAAAAATTTTGGTTTAGGCTGGATGTGATGTGCACACCTATAATCACAGCACTTGGAAGGCGAAGGCAAAAGGATCACGAGTTTAAGCCCAGCGTGGGCAATAGAGTGTGACCCAGTCTCAGAAAAGCGCTCAGCATGTTGCTTAGCTTGAAGATCTCCAAGTTCAATTCCCAAGAATTCCAAAAAAATTATGATTGGGCTAGTAATGTAGTTCAGATGTCGAATGCTTGCATGACATGTGCAAAGCCCGGGGTTTAATTCTCAGAACATGACAAAAATAATAACGTGAACTGTGTGGTAAACTCTGTTTCAACTTTTGTTCCTTTTTTATTTTGATTTTTAAAGTTTAATTGACATGAAGTCATCATGACACATAATGAATTACTTTAAAGTGTGCACCTTGGTGACATTGAGTTATACTCACAGCATTGTACAGCTGCCACCTCTCTCTACTTCAGAACTTTCCACACCACCAGAAAATACCCTGTACCCATTCAATAATTACCCTTTTCCTGATAGCGTCCACCAGTCAGTCTGTTTTTCACAGTAAAGATTTGCCTGTCCTTATTCTGTATAAATACGCATCCATCTGTGTATAGCTTCCCTAAGTTGGAGATTCATCCAAGTTGACTTATGTATATTAGTACTCCATTCTATTTTAGGGTTGAATAATATTCTGTTGTGTGTATATACCACTATTTATTTGACCATCTTTTGATACACACTAGTTATTTTGCATCTTTTGTTTATTACAAATGTTGCTACAAATCTCTGTGTGTACTTCGGTTTTTATTCTTTTGAGCATATGCTTAGAGTTGAAATTGCTGGGTTGTATGTTAATTGTATGTTTAACTTTTTGACTTTTTGAGACAGGGTTTCCACTATGAGTGCTGGATTTACAGATATGCACCAGCAATACCTGTGTTTAATCTTTTGAGGAACTGCAAAACTTTGCCATAGCAACTATACCATTTTGCATTTCTTCCAGAAATACGAAGAGTTCCTGTTTTTCCTATTCTTGTGACACTTTTTTTGTTTCTTATTTTATGAGCGCCATCCTAGTGAATTTGAAGTCTGTTTCGTGATTTGGATTTTCATTGCCTTGATGGCCAGTGACACTGAGCATTGTTCAAGTCATTTTGGGCCTTATGGACCTTTGGAGAGATGTCTGTTCCAGTCATGCTTTTCTCATGGGCTGAAGCTGGGCACAGTGGCACATGCCTGTGGTCCCAACTGCTCAGGGACTGAGCAGAGAGGGTGACTGGAACCTAATAGTTTGAGACCAGTGGTGAAACATAGTGAGACCCCATCTTGGATGGTTTAGTGGTTGAGCTATAAGAGAGCTTTGTGAGTTCTGAATAATAAACCTTAATCAGATATAGGCTTACAAATATTTTCTCTCAGGGGCTGGGGATTTAGCTCAGCAGCATAAGCACCTGCCTTGCAAGCAGTCGGTTCTCAGTTCAATCCCCGGTACCGATTAAAAGTATATATGTATTTTCTCTCATCATGTAGGTTCTCTTTTTCATTTTCCTGACATCTTTTCATGTACAAGTTCTATCTTTTGGTAAAGTTTGCTTTATTTATTTTATTTATTTATTTTGCTCATGCTTTCAGCGTCAGATCTATGGCTCTATTTTCAAATCCAGTGTCATACAGATGTTTTGTCCTAATGTTTTCTTTTTCTGCATATATATGCATGTATATAGATATGTGTATGTCTTGTTTTTTTGTTGTTGTTATTGTTTAAAACATGTTCTTGCTAAGTTTTCCAGGCTGAACTCAAACTTAAGATCCTCTTGCCTCAGCTTCCTAGAAATCTGTGGCTCTATAGTCTAGTTTATAATCTTACCTTTTAATTTTGAAACGTATTTGCTTTTTTTCCCTGCAGTACAGGGATTTAAAACTTTGTGAAGTAAGAAAGTTAGTGATAATCCGTGGGTTTAAAACTGAGCTATGTATTCATGTTTATCTTGTCAGACTAGGCTTTTTTTTTTTTTTTTTTTTTTTTTTTTTTGGTGGTAGTGATGGTTTTAAAACAGGAGTTCACTCTATAATTCAGTCTGGCCCAATCAAACGCCTATCAATCCTCCTGCCTCAGCCTCCCAAGTGCTGGGATAACAGGTGTGCATCACCACACCCAGCCTGTATTTAACTAATATTTTAAGACAGAAATGCCCTTTTCTTACAGAGTAATACAGCGTCTGGTGGAATGACCCGGCGAAACACTTACGTTTGCAGTGAGAGAACTACTGCAGACAGACACTCAGTGATTCAGAATGGCAAGGAGACCAGGTAAGGAATTGGGGCTGAGGATTTAGCTCAGCGGCATAAGCACCTGCCTTACAAGCAGGCAGTCGTGAGTTCGATCTCCAGTACCGATAAAAATTTAAAAAAAAATAGTAAGAAAAATTGTTTCCCTGAGATGGAAGTACAGTAGTTACTTCTCAACCTTTCATAATCAGAATTCAAAGAATAGTATTCCCTGAAGGTAAGTTAAATTTGAATTGTGAATTTTATCAAAATACAAAGGTTCCAAATTCTTGTCATCCAGGGCATTTTCCTCTTGGCTGTGTGAAGAGGACAGGATTGAGTTAAACCAGGATAGTCTCCCTGAGGAAATAAATCATAGGCTGTGGTTTTGTGGGGAGATGATTTGTGTACATGAATAACTGGATCAGAGGCCAAAAGCAGAGCGGATGGCAGCCTGGAAGGTGTGAGGCCAGCATGTGTTCCCTGAGTCTGCAGTTGGCCCCAGTCTGTCTACCCCCAAGAGGCACAGTGGGTACCCAGAAGGCAGTGGGAGTCCGGCTTCTGAGACTTAGGGTCCTGATGCGTTAGCAGGTGTGCAGGAGCATCGTGCCATGCAAACAACTTCCTCAGAATCAAGAAATACAAGATTTATAATGGTCACAAAAATCGGGTTAGGTAGGTTCAGAGGCTGTGAGGTATATTAGCTTGCAGGAAGAAGAAAGGGGTTCAAAGAGAGTAGTTAAATGTATATTCTATATTTTAAAAATTTCCTGACTGGTGGGTTTTCTTCTTCATTTTCAAAAGAGTAGTGTATAAACTAAATTCTGAATGAGAATATATATATATGATGAGTCCTAGAGTAAAAATCTGTGAAATGTGTTCACATCATCTTGTTGTGTCCCGCCCATCCAACTTATTTGGTCATGTCTTGCATCAAAGGGATTTCTTCCTGAAATTGAAGGTGTCTGTCTCCATTAGATCCTAGGCGTCAGACAAACCGCATGACTAATAACCTCTGTGCCTGCCCTAGAAAAATCTTCCTTCTCCTTAAGCTTACTGTCTCCCTGGTCCAAACTGCCACTTTAGTTTGAACTGATGAGGCTAAGCTTGTCATTAAGATTTTTTTTTATCAGTTAGTGAATTTTTGGAAATATTTACATTCCAGTAGTTCTCTCTTCCAACTCTTATGTGTGTATTGTAACATCAGTGTTTTTTTTCTCTGGTAGATTTTCTTCTAATATAGTTCCATTTTGAGTTCTATAAAATTTCTAGTTCACAAGTGACTTAATTCTGAGGTTAAATTTGCTTCTACAGGACTAGGTGTTGCAGTCAAAGTTTTCAAGGGAACAGATTTAATACCCAAGACATAATTTATAGGATTATTTTATAATATTCATCCAAAGTATCAAATGCAGAAGAGTACAGGAGATCTGTCTGTGCACCAGAGGCCCAAGAACTCATCTGAGGGTCTGGATACCACAACAGTATCCTCCACAAGTCTAGCTAGGGACCTAGAGCCCATGACAATGTCTCATGTAAGTGTGTTTCAAGGATCTGCACTGGGAACACCCAAAGATTGATGGTGGAAGCTAGAAAGTCTGTGCCAGTGAGGTGAAGGCTCTGTGCTAGCAGGCTGAGGGATCTGCACTGGGTCCAGGAAGCAATACTCAAAGTAAGCAATACTCAGAGAGCTCCCCTATAAGGAACTGTAGCCATTCTCAGCGAAAGTGAAGATCGAGCTGAGTCTGTATCAGGAAAACCAGCGTGACAAGCTTCTCCAGGAGAATCAATGGCACCCATCTTCCCCTCCAGTTCTCCTTTTATGCTGTTGGCAATGATCCTCAGGGGTACTGTCCACACTCAGAATCAGTCCATCAGGGTGTCACAAGTTGGCCATTAGTTAACCCACCACACTGGGAAACTTGATTCACAGCCTTCTGGTTCTTAAGACTGCTCTGTCTGGCCCCTTTTGGCCCTTAGAGTAAGTGGCTCTGTGAAATACATGACACAGTTGTACAAGTGCTCACCCAGGGCCCCCTCTCAACCCCTCCTTCGTCAATGTATGTGTGAGCTGAGGCCCTTGCATTGTACACCATGCTCTTCTGACTCCCCTACCCTAAAACGACGCCACTCATGCTCATTCTTCAGTAACAATTGGAAGATGTCATCATCATGTGGAGTCATTTCCCTTCTGTGCCCCCCTCCAGACACCCTCCTCACTGGGGCTGACTTCCCCATGTACCACCTGCCTCAACTTCTCAGTGCTAGTCATTGACATAGTTTGATTTTGCAAGTGTTGTCTTTGGCCAGGGATTTAGCTCAGCAGCATAAGCAGCTGCCTGGTAAGCATGCAGTTGTTGAGTTCGATCCCTACTACCAAAAGAAAGAAAGAAAATATTGTCTTTGTCTTTTTTTTTTTTTTTTTTGTCTTTTTCGTTTTTATCGGTACCAGGAATCAAACTCACAACTGCCTGCTTCCAAGGCAGGAGCTTATGCCGCTGAGCTAAATCCCCAGCCCCTGTTGTCTTTATCTTTAGCTAGAGCACCTGACTTTTGAGACGTTGGTCACAGTTTTATTTTTATAATCAGATTTTATAGGTATGTTTTAGATACACATGATGATCATATTTATCATAGGGAATTTGTACTTGTACATGATATAATTTGATTCTTTTTTCCCATTCCTCTACCCTCCTTTCAACCTCTCCTCCTCTCCTTTTATAAAATCTTTGTTTCCATTTTTTCTTTTTTAACTTTCCCCACAGTTTTAGTAATATCTTCATTTTTCATTTTCCTGTCCCTTTTTTTTTTTTTTAAAGACAGGATTTCACTATGCCGTTTAGGCTGGCCTGGAACTCCTTTTGTAGCCCAGGCTGGATTAGAACTCACAGCAATCCTCCTGCCTAGGTCTCCCCAAGTGCTGGGATTACTGGCATGTGGCACCATACTTGCCTCTTTCTGTCTTATAAATAAATTTTAAAAGTGTAAAAGTGTTGAGTTTGAAGACTGGATTAGTGATCATGTTTTTACTTTGAGTTAAGGTGGTAAATGTGGCAGTTTTCTTGCCCTTAAGATTGATGCTTTAATCTTCAGTCAGCTGCAGGGCTTCTTTTCTCTCCTCAGACAGACTGCCACTTCTCTCACACCTGTGTTCCTTTTCTGTTACTAATTTAAAATGAGGTACAGGATACCAGGGCCTGTTAACATCTTAAATAAGGATAGTTTTCCATTTTTTAGCCTAAACTATATTTGACACTTTTCTATGTGCACCTGTACAGAAAATTCCAGTGTGATTGTGATTATTTGTGGTTTGTTTGTTTGTTTGTTTGTTTGTTTGAGACAAGATCTTGCTGTGTAGTTCAAGCTAGTCTTAAACACACTATGTGGTCCATGCTGGCCATGCTGACCTTGATCTCATAACAGTCATCCTCCATCAGCCTCCTGAGTGCTGGTGTTGCAGGTGTGTGTGCTGCCGTGCCCAGCTTCATGGGTGATCATGACAGATCACCATGTGACAGTTCACTGAGCAAGTGTTGTATGTGTCTCAATGAGTCCTAGTTACCTTCAGAACCCAACTCTGAATGTAGGGTGGTGTTTCAGCTCACCAAATGGAGTATTCCCCTTGCCACAGGCAGAATATTGACTTTTAGGATATGTGTCTTCTTTTTAAAATTAGCTTTATGGGGCCAGGGATTTAACTCAGTGGCTCAGGGCATACCTGGCAAGCATGAAGTCCTGAGTTTCATTCCTGGTACAGATCAACTTAGCTTCATGTATGATTCTTATTGGTGTGGTCTTTGTTTCACCAGCTTTCCTGCGTGGAAAGTGAAAGTAATCAGGGTATCTGGGAGCACATAGGTGCTGGCAAATTGCAGCTTTGGCACAAGCTCATGTACTGTTTGGTTTTCCAAGTAAGGCCTGTCGTGAAGCCTGGCATTCTGATGGGCAGCCTGCTTTCTGCTGTAGTGCTTTTGATGCAGGTCATCTACCCTCTTGTGATGAAGGTGTCCAGAACTGACCCACTTCCAGCACTGTCAAATAGTGTAAACTCAGCAGGAGGGAGTTGCATTGTATCTTCAATAATATGATTTATGGGATTGTTTTGATTATAGTGAGCCTTAGACTTTAACACTTAGCACAGTCACATATACCACTCAATAAAATTTAGCTTTTGTTATTAATAATCTTTTCAGAAAAAAAATGTGACCAATTTTCTTAGTTTACCCAGTAAACTAAGAAACATACGTAATCTCTGAACTTGATGTTTCTGAGAAACCCACACCTGTGGGCACTTTACTCTACTTGTCCCTATTCTTTGTGACACCTGTGTGACTGTTTAGGATATCTTCATGTTAGGCCTTCAGGAAGGGAACATTATAATGTTAAAATAAAGCACAGTGAATCTTCAAGGAAATTTAGGTACTAGAACACTGGTAAAATTTTTAAATTGTACGCAGTTTTATTACTCTCTCCATGTGTCCTGTGTCAAGCCATAGGGATAGTGTGGAGAAGGACCAACGACAGGGAATTATGCCTTTGGGACCTTAATATGTTTAATTTTTCTTTTGCAAATTGCTGAGTGTGCTTTAGTCAGCATGGATATATTTTACATTGAGTGTGAAATACTTATTCTAGATGCCTAAATACCAAACAGTTCAAAGTATTTGTAGCAGTCTGAATGGGCTGCTTTCTAAAAGAGACAATAAATCACAAATACAGAAGCAAAACAGTTGGGAGGACTCAAAGGAATTTAGTTGTGCCATTTGAGTGTTAAGAAAAATACTGCTTTAGACAATGGAGTAGTACTCAGGCATAAAGAAGGATAAACGGGAGAGTTTTATCAGTAAATGGAGACCATACTCATAAGTGAAATAAATCAGACAGACATGTTCAAATATTGTATTATCTCCCTAGTGTGAGAAACTGAAAGAGTAAGATCCAAAGCGTACAGTAGATACTGTAAAATGGGAAGGAACTTCAAAAGGAAAGAGAAACTGGGATGAGGGAATGGAAAAAAGCAGAAAAGGAAAAACAAAGCAATA